TTATGAATTAAATATATGGAAATTTCTAGTTCGTTTTTTAAACGAATTCCCTCTCAGTTCTTGAAGTTATACACTTAAGTGCAAAATGCTGAAAGATATGATAATTCTGGTGGCAGTGTTTACACTTAGACTTAAATCAGCGGGTTGTGTTACCTAAGAATAACCATATTTTTTTAAGGGGTGGAGGGGTAAGCCAGTGGAAGGCATCGGCTAGATGACCAAAAGCTCCAGCTGCGGGTCATAGTATGACTAAGACCCGCTTCGGAAACACTTATCCCGTTTCCTGACAAATCTACCTAATCTGCGTTACCTATTAGAGATTTATGTAGCCTCGCCGAATCCTGGTTCCGGTATTGACATCGTGCTGGCAGCTGCAGTAAAGACGTGACTCTTACAGCATGATATTATGATGATAACTAAACTGACTGTTGTCAGCCTCTATCTTTCTCAGACGAAAAAAAAAAAAAGCGTGTTGTTATCCTCAGGTTACTTCTAAATAGTATTTCAGGATTATGTTTGGCCGACGATTTCATCAACCTTCTCCAGCAATTTCCATCTCTCCATCATCTCTCCTTCTCTTCATTGTTCCATCCTCTTCCTTACATCTTCTTTAATACCGTCCCATCCTCTAGGATGCACATACCAACACCGTCCCACCAGAAACCTCCCTCCAGTGGCTCGCCCTCCTTCCCTCCCTCGGACGCCCTTCACACACATTTCCCCTCCTCCCTACCCCCCATCCAACACACCCATTTCTGAACAGCTACACGCACTCTCCTTCACCATTCATACCAAAGATGCAAGCCATCCTCAACCCTTTCCTTTCCCTGCAATCCCTCCACTTTCCCACCTTTTCCACAGACCTCGCTACCCCCTCCACCACACCTCACCTCCAGGACCACTACCATCAACGCCTGTTTGTTATTACATAAAAAAAATCAGATTCAGGATTTCATTTTTTAAACCACACGTCTGTGTGACCCTCTTATCCCCACACTGGTGTAGCCTCACTGGAGAATATTTCGCTCGAAGGAGAGCTTTTGAAGTCGTTTCCTCCCATAACTTAACCCATCGATATATTACTAACCTTTCAATATCATGTTCCCGGAAGAGCAATTAGTGACACGTAATGAGTTACCGAAATACTCTGGGAACTCATCAAAGGTACAGGTATATCAAAGGTACCCGTAGCCTCAAGAGCCCAATGTCCTTTGTTGTTATTGTAACGTCAAGTTCTCAGTGTTGGAAGCCTCTTAAGGGAAGTTCCTTGACGCTGGTGAGGGGCTCTTGATATGGGGGATTGGATCTGTGCTCCAGTTCCCTGACTCGACCCTGAATACCTTCCATCCCTCCCCCAAACAGGCGCTGTATAATATTACCCTACGGGTTTAGCGCTCCCCCATAATGATCATCATCATCATCATAATAATAATTATAATAATAAAGTGTTGGAAGACTCGTTGCACACAGCTTCCTGGAGTTCGTTTTACTCGTTAACTGTTTTACTTACAAAAAAAAAAAAAAAGCCTCCTGAAGTGTGTTTTCGTAACCTGTTTCTTTTGCGTCATAGAATGTGTTCTTTTGTCATTCCCATTGTCGGTTCCAACAACAACAAAAAATATCCCCATAATCTCTCATGATCTTAGAGTGTTACGACAATATATATATGTATATATATATTATCTGACAAAGACACTGTTTAAATTTTCATAAGTCGTATTTCTTAATTCTGGAATACACAATGTTGAATATTCTAAAAGTTTTATTTTTTCATTGTTTCCTTAGAAACAGTAGCCACTTGCTCTAACATGTATCCAAACATATTGTTAGATTTGTTCAACCAGTCTCCATCCATATATTTCAAGCCCACCCCCTCCCCGCAGGATGCGACCCACACCAGTCGGCTAACACTGAGGTACCTACTTACTGCTAGGTAAACGGGGTCATTATTTATAAGGAAACATGCCCAACGTTTCCACCCGTACTGGGAATCAAACCAAAGACACTCAGTGTGTGAGCTGATTGCGCTACCAACCGAGCCACGGGACATCTTGTGTTGCCTATGACTAGAATTACATTTAAATGGTGATAAGTAAGACACATGTGCAACATGCTGGTATTAACGTACCGGTATTGTATACCATTATCATATTTACATTTAAATGGTTTCCCGGTGATAATTTGTACCTGTTACCTCTCCCTCTCAAAGATTTTTCTCTCAAGTCGGTGTTCTGTACACTTCTGTATGTAATTTTCACCTTTTCCACTTTTAAATATGTTATTTCACATTTTTCCATACTGAAAGTTGTTTTTCATCTTGCCATCCAGTTTTTCCTCTCAAGTTTTTACAATCAGCTGATTCATATAAATGCAAAACATGATGAAAGAAGGACTGACCCCTTGTAGTACCTCTACTAGGCTATTTTTCCTCTGATCTCGGAAGGACTGACCAGTCTGGTTCTGCCACTAGGCTGTTTTTCCTATCTGAACTTTGGAAAACATGACGGAAAAAACTGACCTTTGTAATACCTGCCTCTTCTACTAGGCTATTTTTCTTC